CTTATATTTCTACCTTAATGTAATTTGCGTCACGATAATCGTGAAATAAACATTTATTTTTTTGTATTTTGTATTTTTTTATTTTTTATTTTTTTTTTTTGCAGAATGTTTCTATTTTTAAAATTATTCTCTGAATTGATAATTTATCTCTAGTTGGTTAACGAAAATAAGTTATTATCAATAGAGTACAATCTGAAATGTAATCCATGGTGTAATACTCCCATGAGGTCAACGCCATATATCTTTATATATATATATATAGGGTAGCAACAACGGTTGGGATATATATATATATATAACAATGAATATTTATCTAATATATCCCATAGAAATAAATGAATAGTTTTGCAGAGAAAAAGGTATATATATATATATATATATTCACTTGTATATGTAGGTATATGTAACAAGTTTATAAAACTATCTAAAGTTGATTAATGTTAAATTATACAAAAAAAACGTTACAGTTAAGAATAATTAACTAAAAAATATTAGGTAGAATAAAAGTGATAACTGAGATGATTGAAACAAAGTATAACTTTTGAATGTATATATATATTTCAATATTATTCATTTACTTTAGTTTGGTTATATGGTATTTCTTGAAACCAGATGACTCAGTAACTAAGTGGATAATGTGATGACGTTTAAAGTGAATGCTACTGGATTCGAGTCCCAGAGTGAACATCAAATCTGAGATGCAGGTACATCCAGCTGACGAGTCCGAAATAGGATGAAACGTGCATTCTAGATTTCACTGCTAGTGACTATCCATCTTTGCTTATAACACTGTATTTGAAAACAAAAAAATACAGAAAATGTATTCTTGTATATTATTGTCATGTAGTTACTTTCTTTTATGTCCCGATAAGCTAAATGAATGGTAACTTTTGGAATCCATATTGGACCAATAATATGCGTAGATTTTTATCATAATTATCATAAGTGTTAAATAACTAAACTATACATATTCATGTCCTTCTTATTATGAACTTTATTTTGACCTATGAACTATTATTATACGACTTACCATTCTTGAATTATTCCCTGTCTGTTATTCACCACCTCCCTCATTCACAGCCACATTTGGCTAAATATTGTACAAATGTTGTTTCATATTTTATGGTACGTTGTGGTCTGTCTGGTTGATATATAAACCGAGTATGTTTGAAATAAATGATTCATATTGAGGAAGCTGAGATTGGTGTTCTGGACTTAACTGGCTGGGCTAGACAGGAAGTGAGACCAATCGGGACTCTAGAGTGCTCGTACGGGTTTATTGAGTCATTGGTCCGATCAATAATTCACAGTTCTCTAATTGGCGTTATCATTACGTTATACATTAGCAGGACACTCAGGCCATAAGTTGCAACACTTTCACAGAGAACAACTTTCTACATGAGTAATTAAATGATCTTTTTTTGGTTTAGTACGACTACAAACTCTTATACGTGTGTAAATTGTTTTGTTTTTTCCATTTTAGTTAGATAATATGCTAAATATGAATTTAATCGATGCTTTAATTTTGTTCAAGTGTTTAGTAAAATGAATATAAATTATCAGGTATAATACAACGGCTCGAGTGTAGTGCTGATTTACATTGATTTATAACCAATATCATATTTGTTCAATCTTTAGAACGAATCAATTACTGTCAATCAAGTTACAATGTGGCCACTAGTCCGAGTGATCGCATATTGTATACACCGCGATTTTGTATTGTGTGTTTGGATGAAGCTAATAAGTAGTTTATCATACGGCACGTCATATGGTTCACAGCTGAGAGTGATAAGGTAAGTTAACGGGCAGTCACGACTCGCTGGATTGTCTGGGACAAACATTTATTTCATATGTCACAGTTTTATAAGATACGTTCCATATTACTTGAAAAGTGAGTACGTTCTAATGCTAGTCGAAACTGTTACATCAGTAATGCCCATATAACATGTAAAATAGGCAATTAAGCACGACTCAGAGTTAGTATCTTTATCATGTGCAGTTGGGAAATTGAATTTACCAACCAGTTAGTCAGTTATACGCAACGTAGAACTTAGCATATATGTCTATTTGTTCAGTTTACCACATCATATAGGGATAGCGGGATAAATCTATCATAGCATATCTCAGAGTAGTAGATATATTAACGGTATGAAGAATAGTAGGAAGTGTTAAACTTAGAAGAGATGATTCAGAGAAAAAGTGTGGGTTCTTAGAATGGAAAAACTAAGATAGCTTAGAAATTATGGATTTAATTGGAGGCCAATAACGAATGCATCTACGGCATTAAAAACGATTACGAGCAGAGATTTCACAATTCTTCCCACATAAATAAATGATCGGAATTCTGTTAAATATCCTATTACTTTGATGACAATCAATAAGCTGAGAGGCCGAAAGCAATCTATCAGTTTAAATCGATTCAGGTAGAATAAAATTAGTATCCACTGATCATTAGCCATTTATTCCGTGTTTTTTTTATAGCATCAGCAAATCAATAGCTTTGTCAGTTTAGGATATCTGGTACCACAGATAAAACTTTTCATTTTAGATATGCCAGTTACAGGTACCAGACATAAGACAATGTACACAGTTCTGTTAATTCACTGTGTATTCTAATATCGATTCAAAGCCTAACTTAACTCATAATTGTTATCTGTGCTAACCAGCAAACACATAACCAACATAAATCAATCTCTTCAACCACCTGAATTTGAGTATATCACAGAAAAGTGAATTTGATTTAAGCTAAATTTGATCTATGCTCATTGTCCAAACTTCAAAATCATATTTGTAGTGAAAAATTGCGAGTCATGTTTAAATGGTAGCTATTCGATGATTCCGTGGTATAAAATGTTTTCAGATCAAGCGATGTTACGCTATAATTTACTAGACTGTCTAAATTAAATATGATATTTATTTAGTGTGACCGCAGAATTCTTATTGACATTCAAATTATAGACAACATATGTTTGTGCACACAATGCAACTCAACTGATTACAATATGAATGACTTATGATACTGATGTTTTTCCAATCATCCAGAATATTTAATCACATTTTATGACGGAGTAGATAAATGACTTAAGACCTGTATATCTGAAGGGGAAGATAAGAATACAAAGGACAGCTTGCATGTAACTAGACGATTTGGACATCTTAGATCACCTAACCATCCTAACCCATACAAGCAAACAAATACTCGTCAAATCAAGAGACCTAGTCGAACAACACCCCTCGAATCACTTAAACCTCAACACACACAACAGAAATATCAACATACTCAAATACAACACACACAACATCAACATAACCACACACGGTAGAGAAACTATGAACGTGGTAGATTCCTTCATCTATCTGAACAGCAGCATCATCATCAACGAACAAATAGGATCTGATGAAGACGTAAAGGTGGAGATTGAGAAAACAAGGATAGAATTCCCATAGTTGAACAACATATGGAACTCAAAACAACAGTCTGCATGTCAACATATAAAATTCACAATCTTCAATACGAACCTCAAAACAGTTCCACTGTACGGAGATGGAACGTTGACAACTAACACAACCATCATCAAAATATACAAGTGTTTCTAAACAATTGTCTACACAAGATGCTCATTGTCCATTGACCGAATACCATCAGCAACAACATACTGTAAGAATGAGCAAATCGACTTTTGATTGAACAGGAAATTAATGAAAGGCGATGGAGTTGGTGAATAGGACATACATTGCGGAGACTATCAAACTGTATCACGAGTTATATTCTAATTTCGAATCATGAAGGGAAACGGAAAAGTGGGAGACCAAAGTACAGATATGAAAAGGATGAATAACAACTGAAAAGAACTCGAAAATATCGTCTACATTAGAGTTGGATGAGTAATACTGTTGAGTAGCCTATGCTTCTTCACGAGGGTTATGTAAGTAAGTAAGTAAGGTAAATGACTTAATAGACTGGTTGTGTCTGTTCAGTGTAGATGTTTTATTTTATGATACTATCAATTTGAATTCATACAGTGAATGGTTGAATAATTAAGACCATTTTAATTTATCCCGATCTAACTATTAATTAGTATAAATGAATCGTATAAAATCAGTATATTCAAATATCATTTTGATTTATTTTTTATTGTATAATTAATTCACAACCGTCGTTTTTTTGTTGTTTTAATGCATTCTTTGTTCTATTTACGTTTTTCAGTACCCGGCACGAGTTTTCCGTAGTTGTAACAGTTTTTTTTCTGATTTTATTTTCTTGAATAATTTCAAAATTAATTTTACCTAAACATTTTTTTAGATAATTTATAGAATAAATTATCTTTACGTCTTTTATTCTTATTCTTATTATATAATTTCTGTACTAAGGGTTAGAAGCAATCAGATAGGGATTTTGTAATGGTTATTGTAATGAAGATGATAAGCGGCTAATCTCGTTTTTTGAAATATGTGTATCCTGTGCAAGATAGCTTGATATAGTCATTTTGATGAGTTTTTTTTGTAAAACAGATAAACTTTGGCTAGTATTAATACTCAAAGTACATCTTTTGTCCTGTTTGGGAATATTCAACTACATTATCCTATGTTGATGTTTACAATACGGCTGAAAAACCTAGTTCTTTTAAATATTCACTTTATTGTTCGTTAAACTACTGAGTCCATGAAGTCACTCATAACTATTCTATTTATATCACTGTCCGAACGAGTTTTTATTATCATACTGGTGAGAAACTTAGCTGAATTTTGATCGGTCTATGTTGGAATATGTACATCTTGTGGAATTAGTAAAATTTTTATTAGCTGAATCATTGATCTAAAAAGTACTGGATTCACGTCCAGGTAGAAATATCAACAGTGAAATGTAATTACATTCAGTTGATGAGCCCTAAATAGGATGAAACGTGAAACATGAATCCCATTGTTAACCCCTATCCAAATTTATTCAATCAGATAGTAAATTTTAATGTTTTTATTTTATGATAAAGTTTTATTATGAATTTATAAAAAAGTAACTGTATAACCATAAAAATGAATTTAGTTACCTAAATAAAATTATTTGTATTTATTAATTTAGTTGATATAATGGGAAAACAAAGATTTATCGATAATAAACAATTATATGCCAAGTTTGAGTATTATTTCTAGCTTTGTAAACTTTAATATAGATAATAATGATGATGATGATGTAAATCTGAATTGTTCTTTTTCTCTCTTTCATTCCCATTAGCTTCTTAGTACTTAATTACTTACCTACGCATGTTACTCCTCGTGAAAGGGCATAGGACGTCCACCAATACTCGCCATCCAAAGCTGTCCTGAAGAATCCTTTCTAGCTCTTTCCACTTGTTATTCATCCTCTTCATATCTGCTTCTATTTCTCGACGTAGTATGTTCTTAGCACATGCATCGTGATACAGTTTGATGATTTGCGTAATGTATGTTCTATCCACTAACTCCATCGTCTTTTCCAACTTTTCTCTTGAACTGGAAGTTTGTTTGTTCTCTCTTACTGAAAGCTGTTACTGATGATATCTGGTCAATGGATTTTGAGTATTTATTTTTAAATACTTGTAACTTCTTGATGATGGTTGTAGTAGTTCTCCAATTACTTAATTAGTTGACCTTTATTCATTTTTTATGAAATAATCGTCTTGCCATGTTAATTTGCTCATTTACTCCTTATCTTCTTTTAGATGCTGAAGTAAAAAAAAATTATTTTATACTATTTTAATACGCGAATTGATTCATTTTTCTGGAATTTCATTGTTTATACATAACCTTTCCCAATAATTCTGATACCGTTATTACTTTCACTAGATTTAGATTTATCTTGATAATTGTATGTTGTTGTATTAATATGGTCCGGCAACCTGAACTAATGAATATACAACTAGATTCTACCTTTACTCTATGAATGAGTAATTGATTAAACAATTCAAAGTGTATTAGGCAATACATATTAATTTTCTAATCAGTTTAGGTTGTGTTTTTTTCACTGTATCATTCTTGTTTTATTTATCGAAATCGAAGAAGCGTAGACTATGATGAATTATATCATTCAATGTTTGAACTTATTGTACGACCCACATTTGTAACTGTTGATCATATCATCATTCTCTATAGTTTTATATACTTTTTCAAAACATAATTAAGTAATTAATAAATGATGTGTTTTGCAATTCAATACATTCTTTCTAAAGTTAAATATAAATGATAATTAATGGATAGATATTATCATTGTATTGATTTGGTTCAGCAAAATCGAATGATTAGTATGTGAACCTATTCAATTCTTCGTTATTGTCAATGATACATTAAAATGGCTTTACAACATTGTTTACTGGATTTATTGAATTAATTTTGTTTGATGTTTGCCCAGTTCGTTCATAGCTGTATAACTAAATGAATCAAAAATAAACCATTTCCATAAGCCTGAAAATGTCAATCGTTTTTTTTAAATGTTCAATAGTATACAGGGGTATGACTCGGAGAAGTATTTTAAAACAAAATAATAGAACTAATTAATATACATAATGATTAATGATGATAAACTGAGACTAACTAGTTTTTATCAAATTACTTATCAAGAGAAGTAATAACTTTGAAATGTATCGCATGAGATTACCTACAATGATAATTAATTATATTACAAATGTCACTAAGGTAGAAAATTTCTCACTTTTTTGGTTAGTTTAACATCGGTTATTACGTATAATAGCAATTATACACATATAGGTTATTTAAATGTGTTTTACGCCATCACGATTAATCATTGTCATATGATTTTGATTATATGTATGAATGTTTTGATAAAAATTATTTTAAGTGGATTGGTTTTATTGTTTTGGAGAATTCTTTGATTTTGATAATGGGACCTTGAATTGAAATCTCATTAATCTTGTATTAAAAATATACATAATTTTGATAGATCTCTAGCTGCTGTGCTTAACTACTTAATTATGATTGTTACCCTTCGTGAAAAAGCATAGGCTACTCAACAGAATTACCCCTCCAATTCTGTCTTGGACAGTACTTTCCAGTTGCTATTCATCCTCTTGACGTCTGTTTACAATCCTCGACGTAGTGTATTCATTGCTCTCCTACTTTTCCATCTCCCTTCATGATTCGAAATTAGAATATAACTCGTGATACAGTTTGATAGTCTCCGTAATGTATGTCCTATTCACCAACTCCATCGCCTTTCATTAATTTCCTGTTCAATCAAAAGTCGATTTGCTCATTCTTACAGTATGTTGTTGCTGATGGTATTCGGTCAATGGACAATGAGCATCTTGTGTAGACAATTGTTTAGAAACACTTGTATATTTTGATGATGGTTGTGTTAGTTGTCAACGTTCCATCTCCGTACAGTGGAACTGTTTTGAGGTTCGTATTGAAGATTGTGAATTTTATATGTTGACATGCAGACTGTTGTTTTGAGTTCCATATGTTGTTCAACTATGGGAATTCTATCCTTGTTTTCTCAATCTCCACCTTTACGTCTTCATCAGATCCTATTTGTTCGTTGATGATGATGCTGCTGTTCAGATAGATGAAGGAATCTACCACGTTCATAGTTTCTCTACCGTGTGTGGTTATGTTGATGTTGTGTGTGTTGTATTTGAGTATGTTGATATTTCTGTTGTGTGTGTTGAGGTTTAAGTGATTCGAGGGGTGTTGTTCGACTAGGTCTTTTGATTTGACGAGTATTTGTTTGCTTGTATGGGTTAGGATGGTTAGGTGATCTAAGATGTTCAAGCCGTCTATTCGCATAACATTTTTCCCACATCACATAAATCAACAAACCAGAATTCAACCTCCTATTTATCACATATCGATCATACAGAAATGTGGGTTGGAGACACTTGAAATATAATAAACCTCTCAAAGGAAAAACACTAACGCTTCAAATATCAACCAAAATGTAGCTCTATCTCATCAAGAATTAAAAAAAAACATTTCAAACATGAATGGTATTGGATGAATGATTGTGAACAGAATACTTTCGATAATGTCATCTCTTTCGTTTAACTATTTTGGATCATCGTTACACATTTTGTCAGTCCTCCATTCCAACAATCATATTGAATGCTTGTCGTACAACACATGGCTACACATACATGCTAACTCACAGTAATATTTCTTCGTCCGTATATGTTTATTACCATTGATCGTTCGAAATGCTCTTTTCCACAATTCATTTCACTTCATTATTTTTAGCTAACTATGGATGGTTATAAAACAGATAATTAAAATTACCTAATTTTTAAGAGAAAATATATTCTGATGACATGTTTGAATAGAAAGTTATTTTTGGTAGTATTGGATTTTCCTACCTTCTTCGTTTAACTGCAGAGCTTTCATTGTCATACTGGAAAACATTTTCAGTGCCTATTTGATGTCGAACATATAGAACAATACAAATTGATTTTATAAAAATTTATATGAATCACTATTTGCCTTAAAAGTACCAATTATAAATAATGAGCTTTTATTGTAGACTCTATTGTTGAAATGCAACATTATTATTGCGAGAATAAATGATCACAACATTTATTCAAGTTACTCTTCTGTATATGTGAAATTCTCATCTAATATATTAAACATGAAATAAAAATATTGATGATCCATATTTCATTTCTTTCTTCCTGTACTATATCCTTATTGCAATCTTTCTTTTATATATTACCACGTCTGCATTAACTATGTTTATGAATCCGGTGTTCATCTTGTTGTGCTAATGAGGTATGACAACTTGGATCGATGCATATATGTGCCTGTTCCTACGTTGTAGCTGACTGACTGACTGATATCATGATGAGAAATTGAACCATTTTGTCTTGAATATGAACTAGTTAGTTATCTGATTACTTTTACATGTGATTAATTATTCATTTTTAGACAGACAATACTGAAGTATGCAATGAATAAAATCTATGCATATACAATATTTCTTTTATTAAATGTAACTGTAAATTCATCAAATTGATAAATATCTGTCATTTCGTTTTCAGTTTGAACTAGTTGCTATGGGTTAGCGACTATTGTAAGTTCGTTAGAAGAAAAAAACTCATTTAAACAGTTGACGACCACCTTATTTAATCTATGATTTGTGAATTTTTCATTTTAAAAGCATATTGATTCAGTCCACTATATATATAAGTATATGTTAACTTAGTTCGTAGATACAATTTACTTGTACAGTTGTATATATAAATTTTGACAATGAGAAAATTTTAAGGAGTCTACAAATCGAATTTATTATCACTATACGTTGTTATTATCCATTTTTGTAACGAATAATTGAAAAACAAAATTTATGACATAACATTACAACTTATTGAACAATTTAAATGATGATTAATGAATATTCTACACAAACAAGAATATATTACAATCAGCTGTTTTAAGTAATATTATGGTTTCACTGATTGAAATCATGATTCAATTGAAGATAGACCACCATGAAAAACCTGGAAGTACTGGATGGCCGTTTTGTCCTAGTGGTCTAGTTGGTTAAGCGTCTGGCGCGGGACTGATAGTTTCTGGGTCCGAATCTCGTGGGGTGCAGGATCGTGGATGCGCACTGCTGAGGAGTCCCATACTAGGACGAAACGGCCGTCCAGTGTTTCCAGGTTTTCCATGATGGTCTAACTTCAATTGACTCATGATTTTAATCTGTGAAATTTCTAAAATCTCCACAAAACCCATTCTGATAATAATCAACTGATCACTAGTGACTGACTTCAGGAGATACTCCTGGAGTTCTAGTGAGAAGCCGTTACCAGTGGAGTTCTGCCGGGTCTGTTGTGAGAGATCAACCCATTGAAGACAATGGTGTACGGTGGTGCAATTTCGTGGACGAATCAGCCGTTCAGTGCTTCCAGGTTTTTCATGGTGGTCTAGCTTCAATTGACTCATGATTTCAATCAGTGAAATTTCTAAAATTTCCACAAAACCCGTTCTGATAATATTATAGTTTTAAATCTGTTTTATTTGTTGAATAATAATAATAATAATAAAGCTTAATATTTACTAACCAGCGATTTTATCCTTTCCTATCAGATTATTAATTTTCTTACCGATTATTCTTTTCTGTGAGAAATTGTCATTAAAATATTAACTGAAGTTAATTTTTGTCTATTTTTATAGTAAGTAAATTGAACTTTACAAAAATTTATATGTGATTACAGTGTGGAAATTCAAATATCATTTTTTCTTATTACTATCAATAACTAATAGTTTTATATATCTTTAATTGTCTACGCAAGATACTCAACATCCATTGACCAGATACCATCAGTAACAGCTTTCTGTGAGAGAGAACAAACAAACTTCCAGTTCAAGAGAAAAGTTGGAAAAGACGATGGAGTTAGTGGATAGAACATACATTACGCAAATCATCAAACTGCATCACGATGCATGTGCTAACTTGTAATGGTGAAGGGAAGCGGGAATGAGGAAGACCAAAGAACACACTACATCGAGAAATAGAAGCAGATATGAAGAGGATGAATAACAACTGGAAGGAGCTGAAAAGGTTTCTTCAGGACAGCTTTGGATGCCGAGTATTGGTGGACGTCCTATGCTCTTTCACAAGGAGTAGCATGCGTAGGTAAGTAAGTAACCGATTGAATCGTAAACAATTACAGTATTTTTCATTACTTATTATTGAATATACACTGTTTGTATTCATATAAAAAATTAACAGTTATAGTTGGGAAAATAGACAGTTAGTTTTTTCTTTAATTTATATCAATTTTATTGTTTTAATTAATCCATTCATACTTTATTTCACCTACGGGTATAATTTTTATTCTTGGAAAATTCCACAAAACGATTTCATCAAAGTTTTAGCATTAGATATAAAGGCATATAAAAGATGAAATTCAGTCTTTTTTAAAAACTATTTGGTTCTAGAATTTAAATGAACATAATTATCAAAAAGGATATGAAGAAGTAATGAGTTCAGCAACAACAGCAACAACAACAACAACAACAAAAAGGATAATAAAACACCTTTCTGCCTAATATTAATGAGGGTAGCAATAAATGTTTTTCTTAAAAATGATGAAAAACAATTGTGCAAAAGAAAGAGAATACAATTTGATTAATGATAACTGAACAAAGATTGGCCACATTAATTTCTGACTGTATCTAATTGGTAAATGTTTTTGTAAAGAGGGTATTAGTTACTTTCTGTTTAGACTATGTTTAACATTTAGCTTAACCAAATACGAGTATTTAAACTTGTGTTTGTTATAGGATAATCTTGTTTTCAATGGTTAAGATCATGATTCAGTTGAAGCTAGACCATCATGGAAAACCTGGAAGCACTGGACTGTCTAGCTTCAACTGACCCATGATCTTAACCATTAAAATTACTATAATATCCACAAAACCCATCTGATATTAATCTTGTTTTGTTCAGGAAATTAATTTCATTTCCATTCAGTATATATATACATATATATTAGTTAAAATTACAAGTGCTTACTTCCTGTTCTTACAAAACTTAACAGCTTATTACAATTCCTTGAAATAAAGTACACTTCCATGTGACCTATATATCAAGTAAAAAGTTAATTTTATGTCAAATTGACGTCATAATTAACATAAGCATTTGGCATATTTATTTAAGAAATGTCAAAATAATTTAATTAAAACGGAAAAAATATTGGCACAATTATGATAGATTTTTGAGTAATTTGTATTATATACAGTTTAGGGAATTTCAGCCTTTTCATAATTGTTCTCGGTAGTATTAAAAGAAAATTAATTAAGTCTACTCATATATTTAAAAAACAACTCCGCCAAGAACCCCTCAGGGAGCTTACTCTCACCTTTCTTCTTTCCCCGGGTGATCGACTGGATCATGAAGACATCAACATCTGAGGGAAAGCATGAGATACAGTAGACAGCTAGGATGCAGATGGACGATCTACACTTCACACATGATCTGGATCTTCTATCGCACGCAACAAGAAAATGCAGAAGAAGACGATCAGTGTAGCGGTAGTCTCAGAAGCAGTATGTCTCAACATACACAAAGGGAAAAGCAAGATTCTCCGATACAACACAGCATGCAACAATCGAATCACAATTTGGAAGATATGAAATCATTTACATATGTGAGCAGCATGATTGGTGAACACGGTGAATCTGATACAGATGTGAATGCGCGGATCGGCAAAGAAAGAACAGTATATTTACAACTGAAGAACATCTGGAACTCAAAGCAACTGTCAACCAACACCAAGGTCAGGATTTTCAATACAAATGTCAAAACACTTCTACTGTCTACTGGGTCGGAAACCTGGAGAACTACGAAATCTGTCATCTAGAAGATACTAGTGTTTATGAACAGTTGTCTACGCAAAATACTTCAGATCCGTTGGCCGGACACTATTAGCAACAACGTACTGTGGGAGAGAACAAACCAGATCCCAGTGGAGGAAGAAATTAGGAAGAAGCTATGGAAGTGGATAGGACACATATTGAGGAAAGCACCGAACTGTGTCACCAGACCAGCGCTCACATGGAATCCTGAAGGCCAAATGAAAAGAGGAAGATCAAAGAACACATTACGCCGAGTAATGGACATGGACATGAGAGGTATGAACAAAAATTGTATGGAACTGGAAAGGAAGGCTCGGGACAGTGTGGGTTTGAGAATGCTGGTCGGTGGCCTATGCTCCATTGAGATTAACAGACGTAGGTAACTAAGTAAGTAATATATTTCACAAAATTATTAAATGTAATTGATACTTTTTGAAAATACATAGACAAATGTACATTAATGATCAATATCTTTAGTAATTCATCCGAATAAATGTACTAGATGTTTCAATTAATTGTTTACAATCTTCTATATACAAATATTTGAAGAATAACAGTGTTTGTAATGAATGAAACTATTGTTTAATGTTTTATTGAATAAAAAAGTCTAATTTGTTCCAATGTAAAACACTATCATTATACACATTGGTTATGTTTAAATAGGTCCTAGTGATAATATGATAATTTACGAAGACTTTCTAAAAATTCAATACATAGTTCAGTTCTTTCATGGTTGATTATATATCTACTAGTCATTGGTAAGGGATCACTTTGAATGGATCCAAGTTGTTGAACAAAAATTCTTGATATAATAGTCTATTTCATTTAAAATTGCTGAGTTTATTGCAAATCTTACATACTATTTCCATAATCATCAGATAATTGAAGTTTAATAGTATTAGAAGAGGTTTTGTGGAGATTGTAGTAATTTCAGTAGTCAAAATCATGAGTCAATTGAAGCTAGACCACCATGGAAAACCCGGAAGCACTAGACGGTCGTTTCGTTTTACTGTGGGAATCCTCATCAGTGCACATCCACGACCCCGCCTCGCGGGACTCCAACCCAGCACCTGTCAGTCTCGCAGGCGAGCGCTTAGCCACTAAACCACTGAGATGGTATCAGACGGTGTTAATGTCTAACTTTAACTAATACACGAAATTAAGCGACATATCCACTATTGTCATCAGGGAGTTCCTATCTCACAACTAACCCGTTTGAACTCCACTGGTCACTGCTTCTAACTATAACTCCAGAATATACATCTTGAAGCCAGTCTCTAGTGAGCATATTTTGACTGGTATCAAAACGGTTTTTGTGGATATTATAGTAATTTCAATAGTTGAAATCGTGATTCCATTGTAGCTAGACCACAATGGAATACCTGGAAGAACTGGGTCGTGAGTACATACTGCTGAGGAGTCCCACAATAGGACGAAACGGACATCCAGTGCTTCCAGGTTTTTCATGATGGTCTAGCCCCAATTGACTCATGATTTCAACTATTGAAATCTAATAGTATTACTGAATAACTATCATTTATTATTTAACTAAGTCGGTCTTATTAAAACAAAACTATTCGCCAATAACAAATTCGTATGTAAATAAATATGCAGAAAACAAGTAGACGTTGAAATTTCTAATGATAGCTTTAAATAATTACTTTTAAAATGTACAATACATGTTTCTATTCAACTATGTTTATTATAGATTAGTTAATAGAATAGATCACCTTTCGTTTATCAGAAAATAGACCTCTCAAGGAGGTTGTCGAGAAACTCAATTTACTTTCTTATTATATATATATATATATAATCATTGATCAGAATAACAATGAGCGAGAACTCTAACTTAATTGACCTATGTTTACTCGGAAGTCAGTGTCACTTCTTAAAACAGTTAGGACAATAAGACAGCTTTTCCACAACATCACATTAAACTGGTCAATAAGTAGAAGTACGTATTGAAAAAGCTCTTGTATGTGTCAGCATATTCAATTTTTATTGGCACCCCTAATCACTACAAAATAAATTTGATTAAATTTTTCTCAAATAGATCAAAAATGATCTGCTATGATGATGTCAAGAAGAAGGATATCAAGTTTTTCTATAATAGGTGGTCGGAATTAGGATACCCTCAAAGCTTTCTTTGGAGTTACTTAAAAATGAATGACGCTCACTTTTTCTAGGCTCATAATCCAGTAAAGATATAGCAATAGACGTCTCACGTAATAAAATAATTAGTGTTGTTAGAAGGAAATTATATGAAACTAACCAATGTTTGTCATTAACTAATCGATCAATAGATTTGTAAATGCATCTGACTAAAGTTACTTGAGTGTTGTTTAATTTCGTATATTTTTTGAGCTTATTTCGCTTTGCAATTCAAGTCGTTAAACAATGGGACATAAACAGTCGAATATGAAGTATATTTAGTTACAAAATCTAAGGGATATTATTAAGCAACAATCCCACAGAGAAGGAAGCTAGTTAATGTACCGTACAGTATATGGATTTGTCGGAAAAACCGGCAAACGTGGGAATTACTTACTTAGCTTATAACATCAAATGAACAATAAGTAAGACAGACAAAAAAAATAAACAGGCGTATATGCAATGAATTATTAATTAGTTGTAAGAACATAAGAACAATATGATTAACGGAATTAACAATTAAATGTTTAACATTCAAGAGACACTTGAGCGTTTTACTTCTTCTGACAGTAACAACTCTAGTAGTTGAAAGGACTTTATATCTTATTTAGACAAAATATAAGTAGTCGCTTTTGGCAAGTATTTATTTAATTTGTTTTTGTCACCCTTATAACCATTAGTACACCCGTTATCTAACTATAAATTTATACGTTTTATTTATGATTATACATGCAATTCTTGTCGCTGTTACGGTTAGGCTATCTCAGAAATATAGAAATATTATTGTACAATACAGTAAAGCCTGTGGTGGATCCCAGCAAAAGAGCTTATTCAAAATATAACAATACGCAAGGTTATCAATAATATATCAGAATGAGTTATCATCACAACCCAATGTGTCTGTCCATAAGTAAAGCAAAAGGTAACAAATTACAGTTACAACATAAATGGTATATTAAACAACAAGATAATAACAGTTATTATGAAACGAATGTTACTTGTAAGCTGATCTCTGAGATAACAACCACAAATGAGTTCACTTGATTTATGAAGATTCCTCTGCACGTGGTGGCACCAACGGCGTAATGAGAAAGATTGAATCCAATAGTATTATTTAATAATGATCCAGGCCGAAGTTCCAACGTAGTGTGGGAAGGCCTAAAAGGACGTTATAACACTGTTATCATCGTCATTCAAAGGCCGTGGCCTATAAATCAGAAGAACAGACGGCGGAAATAGTGTTTATATTTCAACCAACGCGGTAGTATAACAGTATATGTATGTAATCAAACAACAATAATAATCGTTTCTTTTTACCATTATTACAGAAAAACAATAAATATTGGATATAAATGTGGTTACATATAAAGTGTGACAAACTAGAGAAAAAATGTGGTTTCTATTTTGTCGTTAGAATAATCACTGAATATACATTTCACCATAAGCTTAACGATACTGTGTTTATTTATCTTGCCATATACAACATTAGCCCTTATCCATTTGATTTGCCTTTATGTACAGTATAAACTTTAAAAATTAAGAAATTTAGTCTGTTCTTTCCAATTATGCCGATAAAACAATTTGACAAAAAAAATTCTTTTATGTCAACAGATGGTTTTTAAAGTAATTCATCTATTATTCTATAAACAAATTGTATTTAAACAGTGAAATTGGTTAAACAGGTACAACATTAAGCAAGAAAATAAGAAATCAATTTATTGTTTAGTATTTTTTGAATACAGCGTTTTAGAAATCAAATTAGTAGTATATAATAATAATAATAATAATAATAATAATAATAATAATCGTGTATACGTTCACATTCAAACTTACTTACTAACTTACTTCTGTTAACCCTCACGGAGGCCTATCATCAACACTCTCCATCCAAGTTTGTCCTGGGCAATCCTTTTCAGCTCTTTCTAGTTGTTATTCATTCTTTTCAAACAGTATAACTTATTACAAATTGTTAATGATAAATGGAATTTATAGAAATGGCTTATAATCATAAAGTGAATGTAGAAATTTAGAGGTACTAAAATTATTATTGAAAAATATCAAATTGTTCATTGTATGAACTATTCACGCAACATTAATTCATGCTGACGTGACATGTCATAATGATAAAAATAATGAAATTATTTATAAACTATAATCATTTGAATAAAAATGAACGAAAATTTGAAGATGACTATATTGATTTGGAAAACGTTGATATCTAGTGATGAAAACCATATTAAAGTAACCAATTAAGATTCACTAGTATAGAGGTTGTGGGGATTATTAAGTTTTTGATTGAGATCATGAACCGACTGATGATAGACCACCTTTGGAAACCTGGAAGCACTGGACGGCCGTTTCGTCTTATTGTTGGACTCCTCAGCAGTGCGCATTCACAATCCCGCTCGCGGGATTCAAACCCAGAGACTTTAGTCTCGCGCGAACGCTTATCTACCTCAGTACAATGGAAGTTGGTCGCGCAATTTCGTGGATTGGTTGATATTAGACACTATCTCCATTGGATGCCGGCTCAGTAGTCCAGTTGGTTAAGCGTTCGCGCGCGAGGCCGAAGGCCCTGGGTTCAAATCCCGCGAATGGGATTGTGGATGCGCACTGCTGAGGAGTCCCACAATAGGAAGAAACGGCCGTCCAGTGCTTCCAGGTTTCCAAAGGTGGTGGTCTAACATCAATCGGTTCATGATCTCAATCAGAAAATTAAGATTCAGTCGAATGTTGAAGTTTTTCGTTTATGATACGAATATATACAGATCGGTTGGTCAAAACTAATATTTTGGCTGAAGTAGTTTCTTGTATTAATCATTTCAATAAGTGCTTTCTGTTTAACATTATGAAGCATAGATTCAGATATGAAGCATAGGATGCTCCAAGCGATAACCATGCTTTATTTATTCATACAATTTTATATCGAAAATGCCAACGAAAGTTATAATTAAAATCTCTGTTTACTCTTGATTAATCGTCAAATATCTTACGTTTTCATTCACTCATATGACTTCTTAGTGTATAAAAGCAGTAATACCATTGTCGCTTCAGCATGTTTATTGGCGTTGTTTAGCGCTTTTGTTTTTTCGAAATTCAGGCAACCATAGTCATATTTTATAATACCTAATGCAACATAAAACAAGTGCTTACTGACCGTCCAATTGAGCGCAGCGGTAATGGCATATTTTGTAAAATCAATTTCCTCAGAACAAATCTATAAATCTTGATTGATAAAAAAAAATCGACATACAGCCGACTTTGTTTATTCAATATATCTTTTTATTATTAAAGTGGTTTAAAAACGAATTGGTGCTTGTGTACCTTCTTAAATAGATCTACATTTTCATGATGAATGATGCACAACAATTCACACATCCATCTCGCGATAAGTTATAATGTTGATCGTGATCTAAAATGTTACAACAAAATTGATTCATAATATTACTTACTTACGCCTGTTACCCCTCGTAAAAGAGCCGAGGTCGCCCACCAGTATTCTTCTTCCAACTCTGTCACAGATAATCCTTTCCGGTTGCTAATCATCCTTTCGATGTCTGATTCCGATTCTCGACTTAATACGTTCTTTGGCCTTTCTTTTCCTTTTCTTTTCAGAATTCCAAGTTAGCACTCGCCTTATGATGCAGTTTGAGGATTTCCACAATCTGTTAATCTAATTCCCGTTCTCCCAATTTTGGGGAAAATTTGGCACATTTTGGGGAAGACGCTATAGTAAATTTTGGGGAATCGGCATAAAAACCTCAAAATTTCCTAAGACTTGGGGAAATCCCCAAAATTCCCCTTTAACCTTGGTCAAGGTCATTCGACTTAGGGGATTTCCCCAGAATTCCTGAGAATTTCCCCAAAGTTCCCCAAACATTGGTGAAGGTCATTTGACATCGGGAGTTTCCCCAAAATACCCCAAAGTTCCCCAAAATAGGCTGACAGATGATTATACAAAGTCAAATGCATAATTATAAAACTAAGCTTACGTTCCTTAATTCTGTTCAGTTTTCAATGTCTAATATTGTTCTCACGTAAACTGTTCTGATTATTCGACTATGTGATTTTCAGTTATATTCATTTTACTAGGCGCTCGTTTTATTACAACAAATGGGACTTATCATTTATATTCAAATGATTAAATTGAAACTAATTCTTACGTTTTTTTAATTTCTGTTTTTACTTTTACGTAATCAACTGTTATCACTATTCATTTGTATAATTTCGTTTTCAATCTTGTATCCACTGCTTTGCTGATTAATTACAATCTATCAAGAAAAAAACACTTTTTATAATGTTAGTTGATTAACCATCAGTTATTTAGTTTACACTTCATAATAAATTTCATTTTTTTATTTTTGTTTGGTTGCTGTTGTTTAGTAAGATTTTCTCAACGGGTTAGTGTTACCGACCCCATGATCAAACCTCCTCTTTTACCCGAGTTTGGGATAGCTGCAGGCGGAGTCATTGTAAATTCTATGTATTAGTGTAAATTTTTGATGAGAAATTTACTTAGAAGACATACTTCTTCCCAGAAGTCACATATGTAGTATTCTTAATTTCTGAATGGAAATAAATAAATCTTTGTGAAACTACAACTTTCAGTTACTTACTTACCTACGCCTGTTACTCCGTGCGAAGGAACATAGGCCACTCACCAACATTCTCCATCCAACCCTGTCCTGAAGAATCCTTTCTAGCTCCTTCCAATTGTTATTCATCCTTTTCATATCTGCTTCGATTTCTCGACCTAGTATGTTCTTTGGTCTTCCTCATTTCCACTTCTCTTCACCATTATAAGTTAGCACATACATCGTGATGCAGTTTGATGATTTGCGTAATGTATGTCCTACCCATAAACTCCATCGTCTTTTCCTAATTTCTTCTTCAGCTGGAAGTTGGTTTGTTCTCTCCCAAAGAAGGCCATTACTGATGGTATCTGGTCAATGGATTTTGAGTATCTTGCGCAGACAACCATTTATTAACACTTGTAAATTCTTGATGGTGGTTGTTGTAGTTCTTCAAGTTTCAGCTCCATACAGTAGAACTGCTTTGACGTTCGTATTGAAGATTCTCACTTTGATATTGGTTGATAGACGGTGTTTTTAAGTTTCATATGTTCTTCAATTGTAGGATTGTGGTTCTTGCTTTTCCAATCCCCGCCTTTACGTCTGCATTCGATCCTCCTTGTTCATCGATGATGCTTCCCAGGTATTTGAGGAATTCTACATTTTCCAGAGTTTTGCCATCAAGAGTGACTGGATTGTTGTTCTTCCTTTTGAATTTGAGGACCCTGGTTTTCCCCTTGTGTATGTTGAGGCCTACTGATGCTGAGACTGCTGTTGCTACTACATGAGTTGTCTTTGTCTGCATTTGTTGGTGTGTATGGGATAGGGGGGTTGATCGTATGTGAAGTCCAAATTGTCTAATTGGTTCTGAGCTGTCTATTGTATTCCGTGTTTTCCTTCAGATGTAGAAGTCTTCATAATCCAGGCGACCACCAGAAGAGACTCCGGTCCTCACTTGGAATGCATCTGCCAGCTGTCCTCCATGCACGACCTTGCACTGTAGTCCGTCGTATGAGTTCCGGATAATATTGACAATCTTTTCAGGAACTCCGTAGTGTCGAAGAAGCTTCTATAACGTCCTCCTATCTACACTGTCGAATGCCATTTCACAATCAATGATGTTGACGTAAAATGACGAGTTCTACTCAACTCGACGATGATCCGTAGTGTCGCAACTTGGTCTGTGCATGACCGATCCGTACGGAATCCAGCTTGTTGATCTCGAAGTTGGGCGTCTACTGAGCCTTTTATCCGGTTCGGCAACACTCTGTTAAAGACTTTCCCTGGTGCTGACAGTAGGGTAATGCCTCAGTAGTTTTCACATTTGCTCAAATCTCCTTTCTTTGGAATCTTGATGAGGTGTCCTTCTTTTCAGTCCATCGGCACTTGTTCCTCCTCTCAAATCTTTTTGAATAGAAGATAAAGCATGCTTGTGGTTGCTTCGATGTCTGATTTCAGTGCTTCAGCTAGTATATTGTCGGATTCTGCTGCTTTCCCGGTCTTGATTTGTCTGATGGCCATTCTGATTCCTTCCGTCGTTGGTGGATTAAGATCTATAGGGAGATCTGTGTGTGCTGTCTCGATGTCCGGTGGATTCATTGGAGCCGGCCTATTCAGGAGCTCTTCGAAGTATTCT